GCGCACTTGTGTCCCATGCCGCCGCGAAACGTTCGCCCCTCCAATTGCAGGCGCACCCGCCAGCAGACCGGTTGCGGTGCGAATGCCCCCCATGAACACGAGCGTGATGAGCAACCCCTTGAGGGTCATCTCTGAAGGTACTGAATACAAGTGAGGATCCGGATCTCTGCTTAATGCATAAGCGCTCTGGCAGCGACGCGCTGAGCCAAACATGCTTCGCGGTCAGCCCCGAGGTTTCTCATTGTTTCTCCATCCGTCACCACCTCTCATTCTCTCGCTCCCTCTCTCTCTCTGTCTGTCTCTGTCTCCGTCTCTCTCCCTCTCTCTCTATCCCCCTCTCCCTGCAACCCGCCCTCGCCCTCTCCTTACGCATGTCGATGCCTCAAACACTGCTTGCTTAGGGTTCTTGCACTTGGATGTGTGAAGTCATTGGATGGGCTTGCCCGGCTTTGGCCATGCTGCTGCCTGCGCCGCCGCTTGGGCGCCTCGTGGGCGCCCCGTGCGCTGGGTGGGCTTCCCGAGGTTGCGCCGCGCTGCCGTCCGTGCCGCCTCCTGGGCACTCCGTGCGCTGAGTGGGATGTCCGAAGTTGTGCCACGTTTGCGCCAGTGGCGCCCTACGAGCGCCCCGTAATCTGACCTAACATGACACAGTTGTCGCCACATGTTTTACCCCACATCGCCTGCACCGCACAGATTGCACAGCATAGCTTGAATCTCATAGCTGGCATTCAATAGCGCGCACCTCCAAGTCACACCGCCTAGCTTACACCACATAGCCTGCACCACATAGTTTTACCTACACAGCTCACACCACATAAGTTACTCGACGCAACGTTCGCCGCATAACTTACACCGCATGGCTTTCACCTCCTTTAAACGACGTGGAAGCCATATGCTTTAGAGGCTTCTTGGGGTGGCAGGCCTCCTGGGAGCATCTAAAAATTATCCTGGCGAAGGACCCAACCATATTCAGTTGCGAGTAACGCATTGACGGTGCCGTTATCGGTGGGACACGACACGCGTAAGGGGCGCGCCGTAATGGGTGTGGCGGACGCGTGCGGGCACCCCCACTGGGGCCTTCGGTGGAGCCCCGATGGGGCCACGAAACGCTGTGCTGGGTGTGGCGGACGCATGCGGGCGGTGGAGCTCCCTATGGGGCCACGAAACGCTATGCTGGGTGTGGCGGACGCATGCGGGCACCCCCACTGGGGCCTTCGGTGGAGCTCCTCATGGGGCCACGAAGCGCCGTGCTCGGTGTGGCGGACGCATGCGGGCACCCCCACTGGGCCTTCGGTGGAGCTCCCTCTGGGACCACCAAGCGCTGTGCTGGGTGTGGCGGACGCATGCGGGCACCCCCACTGGGGCCTTCGATGGAGCTCCCTATGGGGCCACGAAACGCTGTGCTGGGTGTGGCGGACGCATGCGGGCACCCCTACTGGCGCCTTCGGTGGAGCTCCCAATGGGGCCACGAAGAGCTTGTACTGGGATTGTGGCATGTGGCGGAGCATGCGGGCCACCCCCACGAGCTTCGGGTGAGCTACCTAGGGGGCCACGGAACGCTGGCGAAAGACATCGGGACGAATGTCGGGGCAACCCCAGCAAGAGCTCGGTGGAGCCTCCCTATGGGGCCACGCAAACGCTGCGCTAAGATCCTGGCGGCAGGTAAAAGGCGCGTACCAACACCCAGTGTGGCGGACGTGGCCATTGGACGCTTCCCTGGGGCCCTCGGTGGGGCTTCCCTATGGGGTTTTTGTGGGCCCCCGAAACGCTGTGCTGGTGTGGGCGGACGCATGCGGGCACACAAACTGAGACCTTCGGTGGAGCTCCCCAGGGCAACCGAAACGCTGGTGCTGGGGTGTGGCAACGCATGCGGGCACCCCCACTGGGGCTCCGGTGTGGAGCTCCCCAGGGGCCACGAAACTGCGGGTCGGGTTGGGCGGACGCATGCGGGCACCCCCACTGGGGCCTTCGGTGGAGCTCCCTATGGGGCCACGAAAAGCCGTGCTCGGTGTGGCGGGCGCATGCGGGCACCCCCACTGGGGCCTTCGGTGGAGCTCCCTCTGGGACCACGGAACGCTGTGCTGGGTGTGTCGGGCGCATGCGGGCACCCCCACTGGGGCCTTCGGTGGATCTCCGTATGGGGCCACGAAACGCTGTGCTGGGTGTGGCGGACGCATGCGGGCACCCCCACTGGAGCCGTCGGTTGAGCTCCCTATGGGGCCACAAAACGTGTGAGGGGTGTACCGAAAGGGGCCATGATGACGATCATGACGGTGATGGCGATGATGATGATGAAGACGGTGATGATGACGTCGATGGTGGTGATGATGGTGACAATGATGGTGATGATGGTGATGGTGATGGTGATGGTGATGGTGATGATGATGATGATGATGATGCTGATGATGATGATGATGATGCTGATGATGATGATGATGATGATGATGATGATGATGATGCTGATGCTGCTGATGATGATGATGATGATGATGCTGATATTGATGATGATATTGATGATGATGATGCTGCTGCTGATGATGATGGTGATGATGATGATGATGATGATGATGATGGGGAGGAGGGGCGAGGAGGAGTGAACGCGGGGCGCTGTCTCTTCAAAACGAGGACCCAACACCACAAGATGGCTGGGAAATATGTTTGGGGCCTCTAAGGCCTCGAAGACTCCTTTTCAACATTGTTTGGGCGTTTTCTTACGATCAACCGCAGAGCGGCTGCTACTGGACAGTCAGCGGCGAAAGGGTATACCAAGCGAATTCTGTCAATCGCAAGTCCAACGACTGCAATGACAAACAAAAAGGGCTTGCAGCTTGAACGACCGCATTACTCAAAAATATGCCACTGCGGTTGAGGCGTTCTTGGGACTGGCACCGAGACCAAGCCCGTCAAGCGAGAGCAAACTGATTCTGTTCTGGCAGTTCAGACTGGGCTCAGCTGCGGCCGTGTGGTCGTCCAATCCCAGAATCCCGCCCACAGGATACCCTGCAAACTACAGGTTGCGGACGAAAATGTTCAGGTAGACGATGCCACTCCTTAGTGTGCCATGCACACCGTCAGATCAACCTGGCCTGAAGCGCAGCCAACGCACCGGACTCCCTTCTCAGCGACAGGCCGGCCGCTGAAGGGCGGGCCCTTTGAGCCGACCCATCTCCCCGTCAGGTTCACCGACTGGAAGTACATGTCAGCGCACGCCACGCCCATCTGACGCGCCTCCGCATCGACGCTCAACAAGGCGGCCCCGCGTTTGGCACCCCGGGGAACCCGCACCAGCGTGTGCCATCCCTCCTTGCGGAGGTCGAACCGCTGCCCGAACACGTTGGCGAGGTGAGGGTCCCCTTTCGCCTGCGCCTGTCCACCCGCCGCACCAGCCGGCGGCGAGGACGACGTGGGGCTGGGAGTCGGGCTGGGCGTCGGGTTGGGAGTCGGGCTGTTCGTCGTCGGGCACGCTACGCTTCCCGACACCGTCGCTGGGTACAGATTGGAGCAGCCCTCCATCAAGACCATGGTGTGGCCTATCAGGAGAGTGAAGCTTGACGACGTGCTGCAGGCCCCCAGGGTGAATTCGAAGACCGCCCAGTCGTCGTAACCGTCGTAGCCAGGGCAAGTGGAAATCACGCTTGTCGAGAAGCCGTTCGCGCACAGCGAATCCAGATAGGAGACGGATGTGTCTGGTAGCATAAAATCTGCTTGCCGCGTGATCTGGTTGCCCGAACTGTCCGACAAGGTCATGGTGCCTGCATGGCTGGGCTCGCTCAGTGAAGAGTGCCAGTGCTGCACGAACGCGAGCAGCTTGCCTGCGGGCGAGATGCAAGCGCGCACTTGTGTCCCATGCCGCCGCGAAACGTTCGCCCCTCCAATTGCAGGCGCACCCGCCAGCAGACCGGTTGCGGTGCGAATGCCCCCCATGAACACGAGCGTGATGAGCAACCCCTTGAGGGTCATCTCTGAAGGTACTGAATACAAGTGAGGATCCGGATCTCTGCTTAATGCATAAGCGCTCTGGCAGCGACGCGCTGAGCCAAACATGCTTCGCGGTCAGCCCCGAGGTTTCTCATTGTTTCTCCATCCGTCACCACCTCTCATTCTCTCGCTCCCTCTCTCTCTCTGTCTGTCTCTGTCTCCGTCTCTCTCCCTCTCTCTCTATCCCCCTCTCCCTGCAACCCGCCCTCGCCCTCTCCTTACGCATGTCGATGCCTCAAACACTGCTTGCTTAGGGTTCTTGCACTTCGATGTGTGAAGTCATTGGATGGGCTTGCCCGGCTTTGGCCATGCTGCTGCCTGCGCCGCCGCTTGGGCGCCTCGTGGGCGCCCCGTGCGCTGGGTGGGCTTCCCGAGGTTGCGCCGCGCTGCCGTCCGTGCCGCCTCCTGGGCACTCCGTGCGCTGAGTGGGATGTCCGAAGTTGTGCCACGTTTGCGCCAGTGGCGCCCTACGAGCGCCCCGTAATCTGACCTAACATGACACAGTTGTCGCCACATGTTTTACCCCACATCGCCTGCACCGCACAGATTGCACAGCATAGCTTGAATCTCATAGCTGGCATTCAATAGCGCGCACCTCCAAGTCACACCGCCTAGCTTGGCACCACATAGCTGCACCACAATAGTTGTTTTTACCTACACAGCTCACACTCACAAGCAAAAGTTTACTCGACGCAGCGTTCGCGCAATAACTTCCACACCGCATGGCTTTCACCTCCCTTTAAAACGCCGTTGGAATCCCCTATTGCTTTAAGAGGCTTTTTTTGGTGCACGAACAGGCCTCCGGGTAAGTCCTCTGAAAAATAGTTTGGGGCCTCTGAGGCCTCGAGACTCCTTTTTCACATTGTTTTGGGCGTTTTTCCTTTAAGATCAAGCCGCAGAGCGTCTGTTACGGTACAGTCAGCGGGCGAAAGGGTAATACAAGCGAATCTTGTTCAATATCGAATCCCCCAACGACTGCAATGACAAACAAAAAGGGCTTGCAGCTTGAACGACCGCATTAC